AATGGAATATGTCCCAAAACAGTAAACACACTACAGAAGACCATTTTCAATGGTTTTAATGGTTAAAAGTTGATGGTTTGTGATGTTTGTAGTGGTATTTGTAGTGAAAACCATTAGAATTTCTGTGAAGGTTTCTATAGTTTTTTTCACACTGTATGACCGCGAGAGGGAGACATTTGCTCTTCAAACTCACAGAAATACGCAAAGCATTGCCAGATTGAGCTTGTTTTCTACACATCCCGTGCTGAATACATAACTGATAACTCACGAGCCTGTGTAGAGTTATAACACCCGGCTAACTTCTCCTCGGAACTCTGGTTAACGTTCTGGCGAGCTTCTCTCGAAGTTACGAGGTTAAACGCTTGTTTAAAGTTACCTGGTCTTTAATAATGTTATCGTTAGCACTGTTTGTTGGTGGATGTTACGTTTTATTGTGTTACTTGTTTTAGAACGTTCAGAAGAGAACATTCAAAAGTAACGTTCCCATAATGGTTGCAAAATGATACAATGAAACAAGAAAACGTTTTCAGAGAACATTCAGAAACAACGTTTTCTTAACTTAATAGGAACATTCTCTGATCATATTTTTAATAGCCGAATGTATAACACACATAATATTACAATCACAGCTTTTATACACATTCATATACACTGCAGACACGCGTCCAGGCTTGTGTTGAGCGTGACGTCACCGCGGGCTTATAGGCAGAGCTGGTGGTCGTCATCGCGCAGAGCAGACATGAGCGCACAGAGACTCGGAGCTTTCTGCGTTCTGCTGCTGGCTCTGATCTGCTTCACGAGCTGTGCGCCGCCGACCTGTTACTCGCGCGCTCTGCAGCTCAGCAGAGAAATCACCAGCAATCTGGACAGAATACAGCGGTATAGTCGCACGGTAAGAGAGTTTATGCGGGTACCTGTCCCTGTTACAGCTTTATTAGAGTGTTTGCTCATCTGCAATACATCTATTGTATGTTTCCTATCAGATGTCAAATAGACGTCTATTAGATGTCTTTAAGATGTTTATGATTTAGAAAGTATGTAAAACTGAAATCTGAGAGACGTCTAGCAGATGCTTTCCAGATCAAGCGATCTTTAACAGACCTCTTGCAGACGTGCGTGTGCTGTCTGGGGTATGATTATGTTATGGTCCTGTATAAACTTGAAACTTTAACTCTTGCAGAAAACATGCGCCGAGTTTCTGCCGAAGATGTTTGTAGACGTGCACGTGAGTGAGCATTTCTGCCAGCTGTGAGAATGATTAACTAACCTTATATTATTATTATTTAATAACCTGCACGGGTTATATCTGCTGAGGACAGGCAGTGTGGGTAGTTACTGATCACATGTACTCTGGCTTACATAATCAGATTCCAAAAATGATGTACTTGTAATTAGAGTATATTACATTTTAAAATGCTCATAATTAGATTACAGTTACATGATTACACATTAGTCACACAGTGGCAGTAAATTATTCATAATTATTCACTTTTTATCAACTCACAAACCCAGTTTAGGAAACCCCAGTTTAGTGTAATGTTTAATGCATTTTATGATGTTGATATAAAAAAAATTGAATATATTTTCTTTCTCTTTACTTTTTTTATGTCAATGTGTTACGTTTGATGGTAAGTTTAAAGCAAGTTAAATAAAAAAAAAAGTAATCAAAGTAATCAGAATGCATTACCTAAAATAAGTAGCCTAGATGACATTACTAACTACAATTTGATCTGTAATGTGTGTGTGTGTGTGAGTGTGGTGTGTGTGGTGTGTGTGTGTGAGTGTGTGTGTGTGTGTGTGGGAGTGTGTGTGTGTGTGTGTGTGTGTTGTGTGTGTGTGTGAGTGTGCAAGTGTGTGTGTGTGTGTGTGAGTGTGTGTGTGTGTGTGGTGTGTGTGTGTGTGTGGGACTGTGTGATATTTGGCTGATGGATCACTCAACACATCTATGATCGGGGAACACTGCATCCTCGGGGTCGGTGAGATTCTCTGGTGTTTTGCAGAACTCCTGCATCACGTCCAAGCTGCGTGATTTCCTGTATGTGACTGAGAACCTGCCCACTGAGTACTGCAGAGAGAGGCCACGCATTCGGCTCCTGAAGCGCCGCGTCCAGACCCTCTATTCCATCATCACCCGCGCCTGCTATCGGGTATGAGACGCCCTCAGAGCGCAAACAAGCCTCTGCTTTCTGCATCTGTGTCACTGCGAGAGATGCATTGTGTGTGTGTTCTCTGTGTAGGATCTGGTGTTTTTCACAGATGACTGTGAGGCTCTGGAAACAGGAAACATCAGTCCGAGATACTCAGAGGACCGGCTGGAACATCTGATAGAGGACGCCTGAGATAAACACACAAACAGCACCAATGCTTTCCCTAATATTACACACAAACATGTTAAACAAGCACACTTACAGCCAGAGAGAGAGAGAGAGAGAGAGAGAGAGAGAGAGTGTATGAGTGTTGTGCTGAACATGGTGTTTTTGAAAGAACTGGTTTTGGCTGGTAATGCCCAGTTCTAGGTGAGGTTCCCTTTTAATGTGTATCTGTGTGTGTGTGTGTATGTATGTGCCTGGAGACAAGCATGAGCTCCTTCTCGGCTCGGTTTGGCAGTGGATTCACATTGGTCTGTGTCTGCGTGTGGAGCGACTCGTTAAATCAGTTACAGAACGGACTCATGAGAGAGATATGAATCAGCCGTCCTTCACACAGAGATTTGGCTTTATTTTCATGGCAGGCATTGTACCGAGAGCTCCAGGTTTGACTGAGCATGCAGATCTGGAAACAATGCCTGGAACATTTGGCAACCTTGTCCTGTTTCCTGAGAAGATGGAACAAATGACCGGTTCTCTTCCTGAGCTCACTGGCACTCGGGAGTTACAGCTGAAGAGAAAAATGTGAATAGAAGGTTAGCAGAATGCGCAGCCTAAATAACCAGCACATAAAGAGCAAGTTACAGGATGAACAACCAGAGAAAGTGATGATGAGCCGGTGAGTGATCAGTGCACTTTGATGGGGACAGAATAATAACAAACCAGTTATTGTAAAATAATCAAAGGAGGTAGTTTGACAGGAAAAGTATGCATATAAATGAGACACCAGTAGGCTGAGTAATGTCACCACATTAGCTGAGGTTTTGTCAGAGAACTTTTACAGTGATAACCAGAAACACTGCATTTGAGCAGGGCATGTGCTGATTTCAATACATTGCATGTGCATACAAAAATAAATACCAAGAGTATGTTAAAATATTTTAATTCAGCATTTTTCATCCATTACATGAACAACAGGTTAAAGAATTTGAAAGGAAAATGGAAATAGTTTTTCTTTGTAAATTGGCATGTAATGGTCAGAAGTATAATAAGATCAATTAAATATCTAACGACATCTGTGGCATGAGCGGTCACATGATTTACGGTTCAGGTGACTGTTTCCGGAACATGCAGTATGTGATTCTCATCGGCGGGTTGGTTAAAGGCTAGACTAATGGTGAGTGAATCTGTGTTGTTTCACGTTGTGCTGCTTCGAGCTGCGAGAAGGATTACTCAGCATCTGAATAGAGTCCTGATGTTTTTATGTCATGCAGAACCTGAGACAAAGCACAGGTAAAACACTAACAGTGACTGTTTTATAACCTGTATCCCATACTGGCACAATTTCTTACTCCTATAAAAACAGCAGCCAGTTTAGCTTTCACTCTCACACACACACACACACACACACACACTCACTCACTCACACACACGCACACACGCACACACGCACACACGCACACACGCACACACGCACACACGCACACACGCACACACGCACACACGCACACACGCACACACGCACACACGCACACACGCACACACGCACACACGCACACACGCACACACGCACACACGCACACACGCACACACGCACACACGCACACACGCACACACGCACACACGCACACACGCACACACGCACACACGCACACACGCACACACGCACACACGCACACACGCACACACGCACACACGCACACACGCACACACGCACACACGCACACACGCACACACGCACACACGCACACACGCACACACGCACACACGCACACACGCACACACGCACACACGCACACACGCACACACGCACACACGCACACACGCACACACGCACACACGCACACACGCACACACGCACACACGCACACACGCACACACGCACACACGCACACACGCACACACGCACACACGCACACACGCACACACGCACACACGCACACACGCACACACGCACACACGCACACACGCACACACGCACACACGCACACACGCACACACGCACACACGCACACACGCACACACGCACACACGCACACACGCACACACGCACACACGCACACACGCACACACGCACACACGCACACACGCACACACGCACACACGCACACACGCACACACGCACACACGCACACACGCACACACGCACACACGCACACACGCACACACGCACACACGCACACACGCACACACGCACACACGCACACACGCACACACGCACACACGCACACACGCACACACGCACACACGCACACACGCACACACGCACACACGCACACACGCACACACGCACACACGCACACACGCACACACGCACACACGCACACACGCACACACGCACACACGCACACACGCACACACGCACACACGCACACACGCACACACGCACACACGCACACACGCACACACGCACACACGCACACACGCACACACGCACACACGCACACACGCACACACGCACACACGCACACACGCACACACGCACACACGCACACACGCACACACGCACACACGCACACACGCACACACGCACACACGCACACACGCACACACGCACACACGCACACACGCACACACGCACACACGCACACACGCACACACGCACACACGCACACACGCACACACGCACACACGCACACACGCACACACGCACACACGCACACACGCACACACGCACACACGCACACACGCACACACGCACACACGCACACACGCACACACGCACACACGCACACACGCACACACGCACACACGCACACACGCACACACGCACACACGCACACACGCACACACGCACACACGCACACACGCACACACGCACACACGCACACACGCACACACGCACACACGCACACACGCACACACGCACACACGCACACACGCACACACGCACACACGCACACACGCACACACGCACACACGCACACACGCACACACGCACACACGCACACACGCACACACGCACACACGCACACACGCACACACGCACACACGCACACACGCACACACGCACACACGCACACACGCACACACGCACACACGCACACACGCACACACGCACACACGCACACACGCACACACGCACACACGCACACACGCACACACGCACACACGCACACACGCACACACGCACACACGCACACACGCACACACGCACACACGCACACACGCACACACGCACACACGCACACACGCACACACGCACACACGCACACACGCACACACGCACACACGCACACACGCACACACGCACACACGCACACACGCACACACGCACACACGCACACACGCACACACGCACACACGCACACACGCACACACGCACACACGCACACACGCACACACGCACACACGCACACACGCACACACGCACACACGCACACACGCACACACGCACACACGCACACACGCACACACGCACACACGCACACACGCACACACGCACACACGCACACACGCACACACGCACACACGCACACACGCACACACGCACACACGCACACACGCACACACGCACACACGCACACACGCACACACGCACACACGCACACACGCACACACGCACACACGCACACACGCACACACGCACACACGCACACACGCACACACGCACACACGCACACACGCACACACGCACACACGCACACACGCACACACGCACACACGCACACACGCACACACGCACACACGCACACACGCACACACGCACACACGCACACACGCACACACGCACACACGCACACACGCACACACGCACACACGCACACACGCACACACGCACACACGCACACACGCACACACGCACACACGCACACACGCACACACGCACACACGCACACACGCACACACGCACACACGCACACACGCACACACGCACACACGCACACACGCACACACGCACACACGCACACACGCACACACGCACACACGCACACACGCACACACGCACACACGCACACACGCACACACGCACACACGCACACACGCACACACGCACACACGCACACACGCACACACGCACACACGCACACACGCACACACGCACACACGCACACACGCACACACGCACACACGCACACACGCACACACGCACACACGCACACACGCACACACGCACACACGCACACACGCACACACGCACACACGCACACACGCACACACGCACACACGCACACACGCACACACGCACACACGCACACACGCACACACGCACACACGCACACACGCACACACGCACACACGCACACACGCACACACGCACACACGCACACACGCACACACGCACACACGCACACACGCACACACGCACACACGCACACACGCACACACGCACACACGCACACACGCACACACGCACACACGCACACACGCACACACGCACACACGCACACACGCACACACGCACACACGCACACACGCACACACGCACACACGCACACACGCACACACGCACACACGCACACACGCACACACGCACACACGCACACACGCACACACGCACACACGCACACACGCACACACGCACACACGCACACACGCACACACGCACACACGCACACACGCACACACGCACACACGCACACACGCACACACGCACACACGCACACACGCACACACGCACACACGCACACACGCACACACGCACACACGCACACACGCACACACGCACACACGCACACACGCACACACGCACACACGCACACACGCACACACGCACACACGCACACACGCACACACGCACACACGCACACACGCACACACGCACACACGCACACACGCACACACGCACACACGCACACACGCACACACGCACACACGCACACACGCACACACGCACACACGCACACACGCACACACGCACACACGCACACACGCACACACGCACACACGCACACACGCACACACGCACACACGCACACACGCACACACGCACACACGCACACACGCACACACGCACACACGCACACACGCACACACGCACACACGCACACACGCACACACGCACACACGCACACACGCACACACGCACACACGCACACACGC